AGAAAGTTCAGTTGTGAATTTTTTTTTTTCATTTTTCTAAACTTGGAAGGCTTTTGAATTAGTTCGGGTAATTCCACCACAATGACTACTTTGTGGAGTGCAATTATCAGAGTTTCGTTTATGTTAGGAGTAGTTTTGTAGAGAATTATGTGCATATGAGAAATGGCCTTGTGATAAAATTTTATTTGGTGTACAAGAGAAGTGAGTGGCAATTATTTGTGAATTGAAATTAAGAGTAATTATGAACGATTGTCGTCGTGAAATTTTTGGATTATATCTTCATTCGAGTCTGTCGTTGCTGACTTTTCTTCTCTTTTCTTCATACTGACTGTTGTCGATTGTTCGATGAGTATTGATTGTGTTTCGAATCTATCTGCCTGGTTTCATGCTTGCTTTGTATCTGATTGATTCATTTAGCGATGGGATCATGTTAAATCATTAAATCTACTTCGAACCAGGATATATGATCATTTCTTCATCGAAATTCAAAACATTTTTAAAATTCAAAAAGTTCCGCGCGAAATTCTTGACGATGCGAATGCTAGATGGAATTAGCAAATAATAGTTCCGGCAGAGGGCATAAGAAAACAGAATTGGAATTTTGGTTTGTTCGTAAATGCGTACATAAATAGATAGCCGATTGTGAATGTCTATTAAAATGATCACTGTGCACTTTCATCTTCTCGTCTATTTCCGTATGGATTTATCGGTGTGTTTAACAAAGAAACGATGGATGCTGTGCGTTCATGTCGGGAGAGGATGAACAGTATCCTGCGTTGTGGTGCAGTATCCATGCACAAATTAAGCAGGATCTGTGCAACAACGCAAATGTCGATTGCAACCTTCTTCATCCTATATATTATCTCATTGTAGCATCCGTCTAATGCGCTAGGTTCTGTTTTTACGATAGAATATGTAGCGACCATACGAAGCTTCTAGCAAAAAGAAATACCCGAATTTTTGGTCAATAATGAATGTTTTGGTTTTTAGTGTTTTACTGCAAGAATCATCTGAATCTTCAAATCGATGCGATGGCTATCTTGGCCGAAATCTTTTTGAGTTTTGGTCCCAAATGTTTTTGAAAATATGTAAGTCATGAAAAAATTTATTTGGTTGAGTTGACTCAAGAAGATGAATTGAATTGATGACTCTGAGATTATTCTCAGATGACTTCTCAAATGACTCAGACAATATTCTCAGATGACTCAAGTTGACTCAGATTATTTGGTGTAGATAGCTGCCATGAGCCTTTGGTTGCATTTAGGAGTGATTGCGCTCTGTTTGATCAGTTTTGTGCTTGAGTTAAAATTGGCTGACTGATTCATTGATTGTTCCACGCTTTTATTAGTGGTGTTTTTATCGTGCAGCTGGTTGATTACATTAGAGAGAAGACGTTATGAATGTAATATTTATGGGTAGACGCAGCAGAGGGTAAGGTTTATTTATGCTGAATTTCCATTTGTTCGCAACAAAATTGCCATTTTATGATTTTCATCGGTGAATCGAAAGGATAATTGCAATGTATTGCTTCATTTTTTGCATCTTTTGAAAATATCATTCAAGAAATGACATTCTGTCATTTAACGATTGTTTTTTTTCCTCTTTTTTTGTTGTCTCTTCAAATCACATCAATCAAAAATGAAACGGAACTGAATAATGCATTCGAGATATATGTGGATATCATGCTAGTTGTGTGTTGGTATGTGTGCATCTCATTATTATTGTGTGCATCTCATTATCTTAAATCCATTATTATTTTTTTATCAAGAATATCCCAGTTTTCTTGAATGCGAGTTTGGAATATCGCAACGCCTTAAGCATTTATTCGAGCAAAGGAACGGAATATTCGTATGATTTAGAATTGTCGTTCATGATTCATTAATGTTATCATTCCGGTTACGTTTCATTCTCTCAGCTAAATTTCACTGAGTATTTGGATGTTACACTGATATTTAATTAATATCAAAGTTGATTGTTGCTGTCCTATCAAGTCAACTGATTAACACTTCCCGTAGTGGTGATAGTTCGAATTCGTATGTAATGTAGGAAATTTGTTCCGCTTAGGGTCTGCACTCACCTCGGTTGGTCGGTTTGCTATTGGGGTTTTGAAGAGGGGATGAGGCTATGAAGAGTGACTGTGATGGGAATAGATGGGTCGTTGGCAATTACACGAACGATGATTGCTGAGTTTGATGTGCATTGTGTTATTTGTCATAATAATAATTGTTATTATTATAATTATACATAATAACAATGTTTGTGATAAGCAGACAACAGAATGAACAATATGTACGTGATATGTCCATATACCTCCTACCTCAGATAGATATAATTCAAATACAGCCGAATAGGAATGCAGTAGGTAACATTCGCATATCCGCCACTCGACAACAACAACAACACGTAATTACAATCATCGTTATTGTTCTCTTTTTAATCATCGCTGAATATTTCATTAGAGTATGGCCATATCCCAATGCGACCAATCCATCTTCTATTCCTATGAGTATGCAAATAATATAATGCGTTCTCTACAATGACCAATAATTGTCCTCAATTCAATGAAGTTCATAATCGCAATAAGCGTAATCATTTCGTGCACCTTCACTAATCATGATTCGAACGTATTGACATCAAACTCGTTCACATGCTTTCACCCTAATCAAAATCTTCGTTAGAATTGTTATCTTGGTTAGAACATAACTGCTTATGTTATGTTATCTTAAGTTATCTCATGTTGTGTATTTATTACGTTAGCTGAATGTCATTTTATGCGTTACGAGTTTTATAACGTAACAACAGCGAAACGAGTTGTTTCATGCTTATCACAACATAGCAACGTTATCGTTCCATTCATCTTTCTTTTGAATTCACCGAAAATTTAAAGCACTTTTCACATTATTCATAACATCCGTACTGCTAAACTAACAGTAAGTATCGTTTAGGCATTATTTGTACTTCTTATTTTTTGAAAAATCCCTTATCCATAATTTAGATTTCTTACTGTCCTAATGGAATTCTGTTTGTGTGGAAAAAAAAGAATTTAATCTTTTGTTCAGTACATTTTAATATTAATGGGTATTTGTTGTCGGAATTTGTGTGTTGTTTCTCGTTGATTTTTCATTCTTTGATTATCGTTTTTGTAGATTTCTTTTGTTTCGTAATCAGTCACGAAAATGTTTTTGTTTATCTAAAAATCAATCGCTCACATTTAGCAGTATGATTGGATTGGATTGAATTTTTCTTTTTCTATTGATTCTTTCCAGAAACATATCAAATTCTTTTTTGTATCATATATCACATTCACTCATTCATTTTTACTTTTATCCACATTTTGTTTTTCCTTTCTTTTCGAAGCCAACTTTTCTCGTCCATTTGTTTCCACTCTTTTTCAATTTTTTTTCCACTTTTGTTCCATTTTTTCGTAGTTTCTAAACGCAGCATTTCTGAATTGTACTGAGATACTCACACGAAAATAATCTCAACGAACAGTTGCTTAAACTTGGAACATTTGTTAACTGTTTGGTGGTGAGTGATATCGATTCATTACGCAAATGTAGTTTTCCGGTAAAACCGTAATATCTTTCGACAAAACTGTTGCGAATAATTTCTGAATTAAGTGTAGGGCTTGGAGTGGTTCGTATGCGGAATGGTTGACATCTGCGATGACATTAGACAAATGTTAAATCACTGATTGACCACGTTTCATTTTGTATGAGGAATAAAGCTTCATTCAATTGCATTCGTTGATTACGCCTTTTGGGTATCGCTTCAGTGATAATGAATCAATTAAGTGGCATCAAAAGTACTTCTGCTTCGATTAATTAGCATTAAAAATGCTTTTTGTGTGGATTAATTACATCGCATTCGAAGTGCTTTCTCAATCGAGCAGAGACACGTATTGCTTATTGCCTCCACTGAACACTTGTAATACTGCTTGTCTGCGATAATTATGCACGATTGCATTTGAACGAACGTTGCATGTGGGCTCATTGCTAATTATTACAGTTCAAGTAGGTTACTTATTGTGTTGATAGATTTGGAACGTGGTCAATCTGTGCTTTAACCGTTTATTTATTCGTCAGATTTACCAAACCTGTACCAATGATTAGCTTGGAACCGTTTCCTCTGGGTGGATGGTAAAGGAATAGTGGATACGACAGCATAACGTGTAGTTTCCATTCAAAGAAACCCTAATCGTGTGAGGGGATTTCAAGCGATTCCCACCCTCCCCTCACCTCCCTTGGATAAAGGCCTGGATTTCCTCAATTGCCTTCTGCTATCTTTTCCTTCAGTAAGATATGAGTTGTTTGCTGTGACGTAATGTTTATTGTACCATATCGTATTTCTCAAAAAAGCGAAAAACTCCTAGGAAATGGAAAAATTCAGTGAAATTCGAGATCAGACGAATGGATAGTTTGAATGAATCTCGCTCTCCGTCTCTTCTCAATTTTGAATCTTTCGTAACAGAACAAAATTTTTATCCATCTCCATCAGTTCATTGAACCAAATCTTAGCATATCCATTGAATATCTGAATATTCGTCAATCTGAAGTGATCGTTGAAGAATCCACTCACCAAAAACTGGTCAGATAGTCGTTTCTGTAGAGTGAATAATTGGTTTTTCGATTGATTTCTTCCTTTCATCGGATTCGTTGTTGTAATTCGATTCCATTTTCAGGTGGAATGAACTTAGTTTGAAGTTACTTCGAAATGAAACTTGATTTGTTTGAAGTTGAAATATTTGAAGAATGTAGTTTTTGTGAGCTACCTTTACTTCGTTATCGTTCCATAAGATTGTTGATTTCATCCTCAACTCTCTTATATCAAATCAGTTTCACTTCATTCAGGCAGTCTCATATAGATAGGGTTGTTTTGATCGAGTGAATATTTTTATCATATTAATCGATACAGCAACACTGTGTTGTGTTCCGTTTCACCTTCGATCTGTTCAACAAGCGATTTGGTTGTTCTTATGGATGCTTATCTGATGATACTTGATGTATGCTGCACTCTGCTCTGTATTGGATATGTTTTGTTGTGTTCGTGGATAATCTATCGAGGAATTGTGCCCTTCTCATGTTATATCCATCAAGACTGATTCATTAGCGTTTGACTCTCTTAATGTCTTTTATCTTCTTTTATCTCCATCTCCTTTTTCGTTTCTTTTTTGTGATGAGGACTGCGCGTTAGCTATTTTCATGCGAACAGATCTGTTTATGTATGACTCACAAGCAAATTTTCCTAAAGCTTAAATGCGCTAAAGACGACAGTAATAGTAGCATCGATTACTATAATATCATCAGTTTTGATTAGTGCTGTTATTTTAGTTGTTGATCCATTAATGATCAATGTTGTATTGTGCATTTGATGATAATTTGCGGTTGATGATGAGCACAAGAAATTGATTTGATGATGATTTCAGATATTTTTGGAAAAGCCAATCGAAAGTGAAAGGAGTTTAGAGTCGTCGGCTGGTTTGAGGGGGGATATAGAGTCGTCATCACCCTGCGAGGCAGCAATATCACCAAGTAGTAGTTCACGTTCGGACCTGCATGCGATTTGCAATGGTCGCAATAAGCTCTCATCAAGTCCTACATCGGCAACCACTGAGTTGATTATGCAACGGTTCGTTGCATTCATTGAGATTACTCAGTTGGATTTTCGCAGAGATCAGATAAAGTCTTATTGAAATGAGTTGTTGATGTGTCAGTAATGAATTGGTTTGATGTTATACTTATCTGAAGGTATCGTGCCAAATCAACGCATTTGAATTCGCCGAGTGCCAGTAAACGACACCAAAGTGTTGGTGATACTAGCAGCCCAGCAGCAGCAGCAGCAGGTCATAATATGCTACCGGGTACATCGTCGGCCTCATCTGAAGGTGCTACGACCAGTAATGGTCAATGTTCGTTTCATTTACAATAAGCAATCGTTTGATTTTTTATTCATTTCGGGCGAATGTCCCTGATTCCCGTTCAGTTCCGTTTGATTCATCCTAAGAATTAAGGTGATGCAAGTACGGGTGTGAGCACCACGCCGAAATCGGCTCGAAAATGGAAAAAGTCGAAAGCGGCGAAACAAGCCTCGAGCTTATCGTCGTCGGGTAAATCCGATAGAAGCAATCTTCAGTCTACATCCGCGCTCGGTCAGAGAATTGTCGATTGTCCGACGAGTGGTGAAGGAGATGTACGTTCATTCTCGCCACATCTGATTATTTTCACTTGTTTTACTGTGTTTTTTTCGGATAATTTACATTTTATTGATCGTAGTCTGTTATTAGCTCTTCATTGAGACATTGAAAAAAGGGTTTTAATACTTATTGAAATGAGTTTCGAATCGGATCGCGTTCTTTCAGCAAGTGCCACTGTTGATCCGAATGTGTGTTCAAGTTGTCGAATCGTATGGTATGGATACGGTAGGTATCTACCGAATACCCGGTAATACGGCAGCTGTTAACGCACTAAAAGAGACACTCAATAATGGTTTTGAAAACGTAACTTTTTCATGATGACGGCTTATTTTAAATAAATGCTCTACTGAATCATCTCGATTTATTGACATTATCATTGCAATTTGAAATTAAGGTCGATTTCACGGATCCACGTTGGAGAGACGTGAATGTGGTGAGTAGTCTACTGAAGATGTTTCTACGGAAGTTGCCTGAACCGCTTCTTACCGACAAACATTATCCCTTCTTCATTGACGCCAATCGAATCGCTTCGCATCCTCAAAGGTTGCATAAACTCAGGAATTTGGTATGCCACATTCTTAGTTCTATTTGTACTGGTGGTATGATCTTCATTGTCAAATCATAAACCACTCAATTTGTCTCGTCAATGAATAATTGTTTTGTGTTTTAACAGGTACGTAAACTGCCGTCAGCGCATTACGCTACACTCAAATATCTTATCGCGCATCTTCGTGCCGTTGTTGCGCACAGTTATATTAATAAGGTTCGATTTTTGAAACATTCTCTTTTGCACTTGGTCAAATATTCTTCAGTTAAACTTCAATGAAAGTTTTCTTAGGTCTTAACATTTGATCGCTTTCATGAATCGTTTCTTTTTCAGATGGAAACAAGGAATTTGGCATTGATGTTCGGACCATCGATAGTACGTCCAAGCGATGATAATATGGCCACGATGGTGACGCATATGTCAGATCAGTGCAAAATTATCGAAACTTTCATTACTTATGTACGTTTTGTGAATGTGTTTTTCTTGATTGTTTTATCGAATGTGTCTGAATGTCTTGATTGGCGGGTGGTGCTTATTGTGTGATATTGATTTCAGTACGATTGGATGTTCAACGATGCGGGTACGGCTGATGATGAAGTACCGGAACCGGTACCATCAGCATGTGATGCAGCTGCAGCAGCATCACAGGGAGGTGGTATTGGGGGTTCGGGTGCAGAGGGTGGTGATCCTCTAGCACCTGGTGCCATCATGACCACATCGTTCAATGATATGCACAATCTTTTGAGACGAGTCAATGAAGCCGAAGCAATCGCGATGATGGATGCGCAGCGAGGTGGAAAGGTGATTATTGCCAGATTGAAAAGTGTTTTGATTGCTTTTTGAGTGATGGGTTAATTTACAGATCAAGCATATGTTGAATGTGCGTCGCAACTCGAAGAAGGATAAGTCGAAGAAACGAGAAAGAGAGCATTCGGCACACACCACAACCACACATCACCAGCACATCACCAATATCGCACCCACCACGAGTGGTTCCGTTACTGCGCCATCGTCCGCCTCTGTCGAACAGTCTTTCAGTGGTTTATTCCAGGTTCGTTCTTCTTTGACTCTGTTCATTTAGTCCATTGCTCTCAGTGTGTTTGTTTGTTTGTTTTATATAGGCGAAAATTTATTCGCATTGGAATATGCATTGTATGAATATATTGTTTGTTTTTATCGTATAAATTTATTCGCACTGTGATATTGTATGAACATCTGAGAAAGTTTTTAATTTATTTTAAGAGAAGAATAAGAAGGAATATTTGAGATCAGATGATATCGTCGTTAATTCACTTATAAAGTAAAATGTCTTAAGGAACGAGATATAGATGCAGAGATAGCGAATCGCCGTCAACGAACCACCACGAATGCATCGATCACAACCACTTCATCCATCGAGCATTCACCTTCCGTCGACTCTTCACTCGGTTCGATGGGTGTCGATTCAACCAACAAAGAGTCCGATAATCACAATCTTTCATCCAATAATACGCAGTCCTCATTGCTATCATCTTCTGATGTTGACGCAATGAGGAGGAAAAGGCAACAGGTACAGTTTTGTTTGTTTGTTCTTCAGCGGTTCAGTGACACTTTTTGAAATGTAATATTTTACGAATTTATTGCAGTTTTTTCGGGGGAAGTTCTCATTTTCATGTTTTCGATTTCACAGAGTCATTGTATTTCAGGATATATGCTCAGCTCGACGTATCTTCATCGCTGGAACAGATGCAGATCCGGGTGAGAACGGTGGATTGGCTCAAGTGGATTTGGATGATTTAGTGAGTCATACACGTCATCTGAATCTGGAGACATCACCAGCCGTTGAGGTGCTGAGTGCAGAGACACGTGAGAAGATCAGACGTTTACAGCAGTTACAAGGCTGGCTTCCTGCTTCGGCGGACAAGAAGAGCACCGATTCGGCCTCAGCACGACGTGAAGTGAATATTAATGAAGAGGTGCGTTCTGATGATGGTCCATTTCACTTTCAATTTCCTCTCGATAAAAATTGCCAATGTCTCGTAATCTAATCGAACAAGTTTCAGGACAAAACGCCCACTAAGACCAAAACAACCGAAGAGTTCTCGTCGACTGATGCGTTATCGCTGACATCCGATTACAGCACCACCTCATCAGCTGCACTCATGATACCGGTTGCCGTATCGTGTGTCGATCATTTAGCAGCAACCAGCAGTGACTACGCTTCATCCGACGTATCACCGTGCACACGTAACGCAAGTGTTTCACCCAGAAATCCCGACGAACACGATTCTATTCAGGTTTCGACTACTCGCCTTCCTAGATCACTTCAGTCGAGCATATCTAAAGCTTCCTTATAAATGGAAATTGGCGAGCGCATGAAAACTGACTGTATGGCCGATGTAATATGATTATGATTATGCTTAGTTACGTCTATTGAAATCATTTACCATTGTTGCAGGTATTACAGTTGAGTTCATCTCCACGAATAATTGGTGCTACTCTAAATATTCATCCAGCAAATGCAAAAAATATTGATTACGAATTGGAATCTGAACCAAAATGTGATCATTTGTTGACAACGGGTCAATACACTGCAAACTTACCGCCAAGAGAGAGGAGACTCTCTGAGAATTTTAATAACAACAATAATAATAAGGTGAGTGAATAGTATGACAGTTATCGAATGTACGGTGTTAACTATATGAGTCGTACGTAACAAATCTTGTTAGAGTCTGTACCTATTCAATCGCTTGTGAATCTAAAGCGTTGAGTTTTCCCAGATCGAAACAAAGTCCCAAACAGTGATTCCGTTGCATTAGCATTGTAGACATCCGTGATGTTTCTGATGATTTTTCCAAAGTGCATAGTTTTACTAACTTGATTAATATTAATTAGTCTTACTGTTAATTATTTATAAAGGATTAAGTTAATTAGTTTTGCTGATTAATTTCATTAGTATTCGATACTGAAAAGTATTTTGAAAGTAATGTATAATTTGAATTTCAGCGTCTCCCTGAAACACACGTAATGTTTAGACTTCAAGAGGAAGATACGTCAAGTACGTCGAGTAGTACGGCATCGAAAGGTTTATCGAAAGTTAGGGTTCGTTCGAAGATCGCAGCACGGAAAGATCTTTGGCGAAGGCACACACTTAGTGACGTTGATATGATACGGCAGGTTTCTTTTTTAATGTTATTGTTAGGTTTATTTCATTCATTATTGAGCTGACTGCTCATTGTTGATTGTTAAAACCTGTTGTATGATCGCAGTTTTGAATTTGACTTTGGATATTTTGAGATTAAAACGGTTGATTATTTCGAATCTACGTATCATAATGGTATTCAAACGATTTGGTAATACATCTGATGATGAAAAATCATTCTTTTTTTTTCATTTATCAATTCGCATAACATTGATTGTGTGAAATTGCTGTCAATTGCAGGCATTAGCCGAAGATGAAAATCGAAAGATGAGTGCATCGAATCGTGTGGTTGGAGAGAAGGTGGTCTCATCGTCCTCCTCCTCATCAAAAGTGGGTAAACTTGCGAGGTGGATCAAGAATAATTTTCGACGATCGTCGCCTGATCTCAACGTGAATGATCAACGAATCATGAACGCCACTAGAAGTTCAGTTGAGTCGTCCCTCAACGATACAACGCCTCCATCAGGTGCTACTCCAGCCACTATCTCAAACAGTCATGTTCCAACACCTCCAAGCGAGGTAATTCCCTCATCCGGTGACGAACAACTCTAGATATCATCATCCACAACATCATTTTCTTTGCAGATATAATAAACCTTATGAAATTTATGTGTATATGTTTTTGTGTTTGCATTTGTTTGTGTGCTGCTGCTGTTGCTGCTTGTCTATGCGCGAATTTGTTAATTTATATACCAATCAAATAAATGTTTCTCATCGATGAATCATTTCAATTTAAGTGGCGCTGACTTGGCGATGCTAATTTCGGAGCATTTTTAATTTCCTGATTCATTTCGATTGGGTTTTTTTGAAATTTTTGCTATTGTTTTGATTACTAACAATAAGATCGCAGAAATATCTCCAACAGATTTTATGAACTATAATTACATTTTATTTTGGATTGATTTCATCGCGCAGTTCAAACATACATACGTATGTATGTCTGTATGCATCCAGTCGACAACATTTTCCCTATAATTTTCCTTAAAAATGATTAATATTTTAGTTTTGCATACGTACAAATATGAGTATTATTCATTTTGTTGCGTTCAGTTGTCATTCAGCAATTCTCTTGATTACATATATTGGTGGCATAGTGTTGTTATTCTAAACTGTTCACGTTTCCGTATCGCTGTTTCTGTTTGAGCTCTGGGAATATCTGATATCTCGATATTGGAAAGTTTCGTTTTGAAATTAATCTTTGAAAATAGTAAACGTTTGAGAACGCATCTGTTGGGGGTGTGATGATTTTACTCTTCTTTAAAAAATTATATTATGCAACGTCATGCGAAATCACCATAAACTTACACTTAGTTCATCTTAAAGATAATTTCGATCGAGAACGACGTAAATTTGTTGTTGTTTCGAGGTACACTCAAAGGTTACTGTGCTTATTCGCTAGAAGAATGTTTCTACGAACAGATTCTGAATCACTTGGATTCCGTTGCATTTTCATTTGTAGTTGTGTGCGCGACATACAATCGTGCACATTTTATTATTTGCACTTATCCATAGTTTAGTTGCAATCAGATGTATTTATGTGTTGTTATCGTAAATGTTCAGTACTGATTCAAACGAGATGTTTCAGATAATTTTATGTAGGAAACTGATTTTTGAGTGTTTAGTGTTGGATTGTCGCATCAAATTGAATGCTGCATTTGTGCATGTATCGTATCGATGGTCAATCACGGACAGTTTCGTTGTTTGTATTATTAGTTTGATGTCCATTGATTATTGTTATCATTACTGTTATTACTCTTTGTATTCGTATAAATATTAATGAGTACGCTGCAAACTCGATCTTACCCATATTGAACTACTCTAATGTCCAGTGAGTGAAGCTGATGAACGATCAATGTTTTATACGTTAACAATTGTTTGCATATCGAATGAATGATGTGATATACCGAGTTGTGTTCCATTACAGATATGAGTGATGAGTGCAAGCAAGTGGCTTCACACTCTCATTTCATTGATTCGTTTTGACAGTTCGTTTTTTAAAACATCTTCACTGATTCGCTTTTGTCGTGACAATTCGGTGGTTGATTTTAGTAATTCACTTCTTATTTCTTTATTACAGTTGTGAAAGTTATGAAGTTTCAACGTGATAATTTAGAACAATAATGATGATGAGGGTAAGGCTCTAATAGTTTTCATTTTGTGTTCATTTATTCGTTTATTTCAAAATCAACAGGCTCACACCTTTACGAAAGAATAACCATAGAATTGATAGAGCAAAAATTAAATTATGATAATATCTTAACGATGTTATCAATTATCATTACATTATGCATTTATCACGTTGTCATTATTAACTATCGCATGCAATACAGGATCAAAATTTAAGAAATACAAGCGTTAAGGGCTGTAAATATGTTGAATTTGATGGTTTTCTTGCTATGTTGTTTTTCGGCAATTACATTTTGATTCGTTCTATTCCATATGATTAGGTTATGCAAAAATAACTGAAGTTTTGAATGTGAATGCAATTTGGTAGTTAATTCGAAAACAATTCAATTTGTGACACAGAATGGTTGAAAATTTTGATAGCGTGTGATTTTGTGTGAATAGATTTTCATTTGACCATCGTATTGATGTGGGAAATTTTATTGAACAGTACGGAATCGGAGAATGTGTGATTAAGTAGGAGCAGGTAATTATTTTTTTATTTATTGTACTCTGCTATTTGAAACGGGTCGACGGAGAAGTTGAAAATGGAGTTGAATTAGTATTGGATATTGTCAAATGGAAAACAACATTGAAACATTGAAACACCTCAACATTGAAACACCTCAACATTGAAACACCTCAAAATTAAAACACCTCATAATTTTGCACCTCAAAATTAAAACACCTCAAAATTAAAACACCTCATAATTTTGCACCTCAAAATTAAAACACCTCAACATTGAAACACCTCAACATTGAAAGACCTCAACATTGAAACACCTCAAAATTAAAACACCTCAAAATTAAAACACCTCAAAATTTTAAACCTCAAAATTAAAACACCTCAAAATTAAAACACCTCAAAATTTTGCACCTCAATATTAAAACACCTCAAAATTTTGCACTTCAAAATTAAAACACCTCAAAATTTGGCACCTCAAAATTAAAACACCTCAAAATTAAGACACCTCATAGTTAGTTTTTGCAGGAAGAATCCTCAGCAAAAAGACACTGCACATATCATCATTCTTCAACGAAGCAATGACATTTCCAAATTTCGTCAGTTTTGTTTGTATGTGCTTTTTGAAACCGTTCATTTTTGAAAACTATTTCATTGGTCGCCTGTGAACTAATTGCAGCATTTTAGAATGGCTATCAGCTTTAATGGTTATCATATGCGACAATTAGAAAGAGATGATTGGTCATAATGTTGGGCATTAAACGGTGTTTCGTTATTATTGCGTAGTCATCACAAAAGCATGTGATTTGTTATTCATCAGTACCGCAGACGATTATTATGAATAAAACTATTTGAAAGCATCGAAACAATGCGAAATCCTCTCATTTCTGAATGTAACTGCATTTGACAATAACTAAACCTCATTTAGAGACGCTTTTTTGGTCATTTCACGTAATGGTTGAATGTTGTAATTATAATTATTGCCCTATAACTAATATCTGCATTGACTATCATTGTTATTTAGTATCTATATTGCTGTTGTACAAAAGTTAATCTCAAAATTATTATTTACTGTTTATAATCCTAAAATAAATCTTTTTTTTTGATTTATTGATTCCAGTAATACTGACAACCGGTTGCAGATATGAGACTATATATATACACATCATATATGCTCCAGAGCTATATCCGCCACAGTTATTGAAGTATAATTAAGTCTCAATCAAATCCCATACAGATTCCACTCATTTCCCTCTATTCAATCATACGCGCGTTGTGTGCAGCCAAACGAGAAGTCGTCAGGTTATTGAATTTATTTTGAAGTTTGTTGATTGTCATCGCTGATTCCAGCAGGAGATATTATACTTGTATACACTGATATGGTACCTTCATTATAGTTTTATGATTCGAGCTGTTGAAATAAAAATATGGTTTTGTTATTCACAATTAGAGCAATTCAGTTTCGCTTTATTCCGTCTGGTCAATTGAATTTAAGACTGTTTTTTGATGAAGATAAAGAACGAATATAGCTCGAAAATGTGTCGATCAGTAATAGAGGAGGATGTAAATTTCAAATGATTTGAAATCACTAACAAATTCGTGTGGTTTGTGGAAAAACAATTTGTCAGCAAAGAGCGAAGGTGAATTGAGCTGAGAAATGGGTGAATTATTCTTCATGCCAAAAAGTGAAACGAAAAATTTGGTGAATGACTTGAAAGTGACCTTAAATTGTCAAACAATGATGTCAATGACCATCTTCCATAGTGAACGGTGTCGCAAGAGTTGCTTAGAAGGAGATCGACGAACCTAGTGTGTTGCGTTGCTTGTGTCGGTTTTTAGGCATTGTTTTCGCGATAGTGAGGATCGACGGTATTTCCTTGTAAATGAACATCGTCCATTATTGTTGTTATTAGTGCGATTAACCCAAATACAAGCATTTCTCCATATAAAATCGTCGTCTATTAACGAAATAAATGTTTATCTTGTTGCTTTTCGCAGTTTGATTCCAATTCGATAGTTCTCATTTGCAGTTTACTACAAAACAACCAAGATGAAGCAGTTCATTAGCTGTATCACCATTTTATTCCTCTTCTTCTTCACTGATTACGCCCTATCAGAGGTTCGTTTCGATAACTGTTCGGTCTTTTGTAATTTTCAATTAAAATGGAATTAACTCGAAACATAATCACTTCGAATCAAGCCGTTCGAATGAATATTCGTCTATGCGTCTGTCTCACTTTGTTCAACGCCACATAATCGTCCTTGATAGTATGCGGTGCCCTCATTATTCGTTTTATGGGACGAACGTTATAGTGGTTGACTTTTTGTTATTATTTCGAAAAGCGCTAATGAGTTGTTCCCTTTTGCAGACTCATTGATCTCACAATAACCTTGTGTAGGGCAGCGATAATAACCCATAGCACTATCATCATTTCAAAAATCACCAATAACGAGTTTAATAACAGCCCATTCATCCAGTTTATTGTTCAAATAATGCAGCAGTGTTCAACGAAAGTGCAACTGAATGATCAGGAAATAATGCAACTGAAAAAATGATTTGCTGATTTTATAGGAAAAGCCTGATGAGAATCTCAGAAGGAATCTGCAAGCGATTGGTAAAACCCTCAACGTAACTGCAGCCGAGGTAGTTCATTATCAGCTCTCTAAATAAACTGCAAAAACCACCCAAGTACCTGAATGCAATTCAGTCTCAGTCATTCGTTTGAGCCAAAATGAGGCTTCGAGTCATTCATAGAGGAGTCTGAATTGTGCTTCAAAAGTGTTTAATTGGCTAATTTGCATCGCATCGTCCAAAATTCGATGAGCATTATTGAACATGCGATTTTATCGAGCCCAAAGATTTCAGGCTTAGTTTTAGAAAAATTTCAAGAAGCTGTTTCTAGAAGTTTGAATTTTAAGAAGCTATCTTGATTCACAGTTGATTTTGTCACCAATTTTAAGGCGCTTGATTCACTACGGATGATGAACGATACTATTCAAGCCCAATTGGAGGTGAGTGGTCGGCGTTCTCATTGAGCTTTCGAGGAGCTTTCATAGTTTTCGATTGGATTGTGATATACTTCGAAGTAACATAATTTTGAGTAACCCAGTTGATCTGAGACTTTAAACACTAGGTCTCTGTCGAACTGCTAAGCTCAAGCTCCAGTTTTGACAATTTGCTATTCCTGGTATCGACAGATTCTGATCAAAGGGGCCTGATGACATTAAGAATGCCCATGCGTCTCTTTAATGACTAATCACTGCTGAATTCGTTTCGATCGATCTTATGCTTCTGAGTTGTGAAGAATAAAGAACCCGAGTGGTATATTCTGATGATGATCGCCAATTTTAGCCGTGCACTGCAGAAGACTGCAGCAATCATGGGACATGTCTCGGAAATAAGGAATCGTTCATATGTTTGTGCCAAACTGGATACATTGGTGCACAATGCCAAGATAGTGAGTTCTTTTGATTTATTTAATTCATGCCACATTTCTAATTTGTAAATATAATAGATAACAAGGTGCTTAGACATTATAATGATAATCACTCTGTTCTCAAAACTCATCATTTCAGATCCATGCGATCCAAAAACAAGCTGCAATGGGAAAGGTATTTGCATTGGAACATCAAGGACTTACACATGCATTTGTCAGATTGGATATACCGGAACGTTCTGCGAAACGAAAGCAAAGTAATTGTGATGGTGACGATAATGATGCTGATCCTTTCAATTGATAATTTATCTTGTGATATTTCAGTTGTTTTTGATATTCTACACATTGCATTCTATGTAATGTTTCATGTACATCAATTATGTCATTGATTTATATTGAAATATATTGTCATATCACTTAATTTCTTCTCGTACAACGTAACAAAGATAAAACGTATAACTGACGGTCAAAGAACTCTTCGTTGGAATGTAACGTTGATTTTCAGGATTGAACTTTTTGCATTCTACGGAGCTCGGCAGCGGCGGCTTTATGAATAAACTTTTGGAATTTTGGTTTGAAAGCGCTGATGAGCTAGAAACAGTTCAAACAAGTTGTACTGAACAGATGAGGCTTTTGTTGAGTCGATAAATTATGCGAATCGCATTTCATATCCAATCAATTTGTGAATCTGCTTGATTCCCTCTTAACAATCTGAAGTGAAATGAGATCATCACTTATGCTCATCACTTTACTATTTTACTGTTATCGTTCCACATTCACTTCGATCAGTTTTGTATGATAGCAGCTTACTTTCTTTCTAATCGATTCATAACGTAACGTTCACAATAAAAGATTATGCAAGTTGTCAATATATTTTTAAATAACCCTACATTAAACATTATTCATATTCATGCGAACTAAGCTGATGTACACGCGAATGCAATGATTGGAGTCTTTCTGTCAGCATTATTTTCTTGACAAATTAAGCGATAAATGCAAAAAGTTACTGTGTTTGCATAAAATTATCCTGAAACATGTAAATCAGAGTATGAATTCATTCTATAATCTGCGTCCCAACAAGTTAATTATCATTTGTTATCGTTCGTCGATTCTTAAGCAGTTCGCCCGATTCTAGAGCTTCCCATCCGTCTTCTATTCGTCGACTTTTGAAAACTATCGATGTAAGTTAATTGTTTGCTAATCTCACCTTTTCCATTGTTTCTGGTGTTATTATTCGTTATCATGTTTATTAATGCAAGATTTTAATCCTAATTTGACGCTGATCGTAAGTTTACTGATCTCTTTCGAAGGTCATTCTTTTAAATACGCTTTTCAATTGTGAAAAAGCATGCCTTTGAATACAAACAACAAATTTGATATCATTTTTCTGCCACAAATACCATCGACATTTTATTATCACAACGTAACCTATTCAAAATCAATCGACTACTTACGAATTCGTAGAAAATGGGAAGTCCGGTTGGACCAATCAAGTTAAATGTGGGAGATAAAGTACGAGATCAATTCATTGTGAGGAAAAAACTCGGTGAGGGATCGTGTGGCACTGTGTTCCTCGTTCAGAACATCAAAGACAAACAGGCTCGTTCCACTAGCCTTTACACATTGAGTGTCGTCAAATGATCTGAGTTCAGTTCAACGTCTATACATCAACATCATCAATTGATTGGAAGCCGATATTTGATATTTGAGCATTTGAGTAAATTTGTATTCAGTAATTATTGCAGAAGGCAGCGATGAAAGTAGAGCCATTTATGAAGAGTAAAGACGATGAGATTCTCAAAATGGAAGTGTTCGTTCTGAAAAAACTACAAAAGTCGAAGCACTGCTGCCGTTTGCTTCTTGCTGGTAAAATGAACAATTTTAGGTGAGCGCAAACTCGTGAATGTGATTGTTCGTTATTCGAGTGAGTGATTGATTCAGTATCATCATTTTGGTTGTTCATTCATTTATTATTTCAAACCGTTTGATTCGAAATAGTGTGTAATGAAGATGAATCGCCCCGATGTCCTGCAGTTTACGTTTAAACACTTAAACATTTAAATACTTTAACATGTAATGTCAAAAGCGATCATTTGAAAACTTTGCTGTTATCACACCCAAACGGAAAGGTCGGGCTCCACGAAAACTGTGATCGTGAGACTCTGTCTAAAGCTTAAGGTCATGCCCAAGCCTAACCCTGAACTGTGGTCACTGAGCCTAACCTTTCTGAAAGGCAAAATCCTCAATCGTTCTGCAGAAATTTGATTTCGATTAGATCAACTTTAGAGACAGCGTTGAGTCTGTTTTGGATATGATTCCCGATGAGAATTTTTGCACATTTCGTTGAATGTTTCACGTGCGCGAGGCATTAATTTTCAGTTTTCTAATAATGTCGTTGTTGGGTAAAGAGCTATCAGACATAAGAAGGCGATTACCAGATCGAAAAATGTCAGTGGCTAGTACACTTCGAATTGGTGTGCAATCTGTTGAGGTGTGTTCACAATATTGAGAAGGTTCAAGAGAGCGCTTCATGATTTTGTTCATTATGGTCGAGTAACGAACTGAATCGATTGTTATGATAACTGTGATCATTTCTAAGTGCATCTTGCATTTTCTGTAAATCGCCAAGTATGATTGAGACAGTGCTATTGTGAAAAGTGAGCAATCGACTAGCTGTTTAAGATCACAGTCTGTGCACACTGAAGATTTATTCGGTTTGTGTTGATCTATCGAGAAGGTAAGTTAAGTTATAGGAATCAGTTGTGTTTTAGGCAATTTACGACGTTCACACAATTGGTTTTGTGCATCGTGATGTGAAGCCGACAAATTTTGCGATGGGACACAGCGATCGCAATATGCTTTACATATTCGACTTCGGACTCGCTAGACAAATATTTTTTCCTGATAAGAAGAATAAACTCAAACTGAGGGAGCCGCGAAAAAAGGCAGGCATTATTTCAACTACTGCATTAGGCTTCAGTGCAGTGCCTGTGGCTGGAATTGCAGAAGAATAGATGTAAAATCTGTTCATCTCACAACTTGTATAATTATTTCACTGGAGATTATCCATGTTCACCAGAGATTCAATTTTTGACAAGTTTTTGTCTATATCTTGGGAATCGACTGCGTTAATCTTCATATCGAAGTGCTAGATATTCTGCGAAACATACTAACGAAAATTTTTTCGAAGCATTCAAAAATTCAAAAACTCATATCTCAATCTACGGTACCTGCTGTTGTTATAGCAAAACATTCTCTATGTGATGTAAGGGAGAGATGTAAATATCTCTACCTTACATCTCTCAAAGAATCCATTCCGGTTGATAGTTAGTTATATTTAGATATCCCACAGTCCCTTCGAAAACTGATTTTTCTTGGTATTATCTAACTTGAACAGCGGTTGCGCTCATTAATTGTTTCAAAGGTGATGAGTAGTACCCCGTTTCTTCTGTGTTGCTGTCGTATGCATACTGCGCCAGTGCTCTTAGTTGTTGAAGTACGTATCTTAGAGTGTTTCAATTTGAGGTATCGTTTCGCGGAACGGTTCGCTATTGTTCAATAAATGTTCATCAATATAAGGAACAAGGACGACATGATGATCTTTGGAGTAGGTTTCGACCACTCTAATCCACTCTTTCACAACCTTTTTCAGCCAATCTTCTCACATAGACTAAGACCGTGGCCAAACTGCTTCCCTATCTTTTCAAGTTTAGCAACTTTTGGTGTCGCTTTCAAGACAGAAAAAAACTGCAATAATTCTGCAGAGTTTATTCTGTTGCGTTGGAGCCCCTCATTTTAAAAGTCATTTTCGCGCATGTTATTGGCCGTGTTGAGAAACACTGTTTTGATCAATGATCATTTCTCATGTGTCACTATAATAACTGAATATTAGTAATCATTTAACGATTGGTATGCATCATCAGGTTTACGCAAGTGACTGAGATTAAAGGCTGATTGTTCTGAACCAATATTGTTTTGGTATATGCATGATTGTGAATTAATTGAGGTATGTTCTATATGATGATTGAACTGATAACAGCAAAATTACCATGGAAAGGAATGGCACGCAGAGATAGTGGTCGCATCAAAGAAACAGTCGCCGATAAAGTACTTCTCTCAGTAAGTGCAAATCTCACATCCCCTCGTCTTCATCCGTTAATGCTTTAATTAGAACTGATTAGTGACCATACTACTGTCACGATTTTCAACATTAACTTCGCACTGTTTGCAGGGGTGTCCATCGTGCTTCGCCGAGCTGAACGCTCATCTTAAGAAGATAACTTATTACGATACTCCAAATTATAATCTGTTCAAAACGAAATTCATCGATGAACTCTCTAAACTCAAAGTTAAATTGTATGTCACTGCATCATTTTCCATTTCAATGAGCTCATATGATATCACATTTATTACGATAAGTTACGATCTGAATTTAACGAATGGCATCATTCGTTGATTTTTCGAATAATCGCAGGAGTGATCCATTCGAATGGAATGTTCGAAAGACGAACTTCAAAGCCGATCTTGGCATATCTGCAGAAAAGGATGAAAAAGCTGAAATTGATAAGGTTCGTTTGTGAAGAGCGATCGAATAATCTGCGTAAATTGTTCTGTTCAGTTGAGGCAATGCTTTAAAAATTGTGAATGTGATATTGCTCTACAGCCGATTGTCTTAGCGTTATTTTCGTATCAATTGAGAAATGTGAATTGTAAATTCTTTTCCTCTGTAACGGATTGGTTCTGATAAATGTAATTTGAGATGGAGGACACAGATACGGGTCGCATAGTGGATGAATCAGTGGAATCTGCGGCATCCGGAAGTGAATCTGATTCTTTGGGATTCGCAGCCGAAGATACTCTCGAAAACGTTGAGGACGTCAAGAAATGAGAAGGACATTTTCACCAGACAACAATATGACTATAAATACATCAAATATGTTGTTCTAAGTAATCTGAACAGGGACACTGTCAAATAAGAGTTCATTGATAATCACTTTATATGCTTCATTGTGCAATATGTTTATGTTTCTATGTCAAATGTAACTAATAATCGCCTTTTGATAAAAAACGATTTTGCAAGCGATTTAGTTGCTTGTGCACTGCATCATCAAAAGTTTTGCAAGGCGAACACTTTGTCAAATGGTATAACAAAATGTTTGTATGAATCATTGCAATTTTGCTGATCATTTTTTCCTTTGCATATATTTCCAAGCCAAAAAATTGTTTTCCTTGAACAAAAAGCACTAATGAAATGATGAAACGATGAAAGTTACGATCATAAGGTCTAATTGTAAGTTTGCTGATGTGAACATCTAGCTGATCAATCGAAAAGAATAGATCAAATCAGTAATGAAGCAGTCGTGAACCGGTGAGCAAAATGTGAGCAAGTGAATTGAATGAGCAAGACTTTTTTCCAAAAATCACTCGTCATTCAATGGGATGATCACATCCGATAGGATGATGCATTAAAGTATAATTTGAATCATATCAGATGCGGTCGTTAAATGGCAGTAATTGTAAGTTTATTGCTTGACGTAGATGCAGCCGTAGAATGAGTGATTAGTATTGTCCATACAGCAATGATTTATTGTTTCAATACTATCATACGTTACCTACTTTTTACGAAGACAGAGCTGAATCGGTGGTCTACGAGCATACACGAGAGTTACGAAGCTTCGAACATCTATAAACTCTCTGAGACTCCCAAACATTTACAAAGATTCTGGGATTGCTAAAAATGCAAAGACATCGAAGGAACTGTTTGAACGCATTAGGTGATGCACAGATCTAAAACGACTATTAGGGGATGTTGCATGCGTACGTGAAAAACGATCGCACAATTAAAACTAGACTGTAAACTCGCAAGAGAGTGCCTCGAGAAGAATGAATAAATCGGAATGAAAAGTGTCAAATTGTATATTGTCGTTTTCGTCAGCACTGGTTTCTTCACACCGTAATTTGCTGTGAGTGTATATCGCTCCCATTGCTGCTTGATATTACTCATTTCGATGGATCAGTTAGAAAACTCTCGCATAAATTGCACACTGCAAATCGCTTCTGATACGGATTTTAATTCTCAAAAATAACGTGCTTACCAAAAATGCAATCCATAATGAATGGTCAACGTTGCGATTCTAGTATGACGATAGTAACGTGTTTGCTGCGTTGACGCTTCATACAACTTACATTAGTTATATTGTGATCTAGGATGACTTGCGAGTGATCCATAGTAAGCTAGGTTCTTTTTCAGCATCTGCTAACAATAAACTGTGATTTATGCTCTATGATTCACGCGCTATGAATCACGGTCTACGATTTACATGTGATTCAAGATGAACCATTGCATTTTCGAATCATCGTAATGACGTGAGCTTATCGAATTGAAACGGAATGAACAATTTATTTTAAAAAATTTCGGCTATATTCTAAATGATCAGTTGATCGAGCTGAATTACTTTGACGCAAGATCTTCCTTCGGCTATATGAGGTATTTTGTGGAGTAAATGGGCTCTGCTTATAATTTGATCATTTATGCTAATTTTAATGAATTTTTTCCATCAACATTTTAAAAAGAGAAATCAGATCTATATAAAATCATTGGAAAACGCTTCCGTAACTGGCAACTATCTTGGCTGTTGTAATGTTGATTATACGTGAATCAAACACTGCTTGCTTGCATCAACAGTGCATGATGCTATTGTTTCATTTAATTGACTGTTTCGATGTTTATTCATACATAATTAAATATTATAAACCGAGAGAATGGCAATTAAAATCACCTTGTGTGGGGTGAGTGATGATGACAGCATTAACGATTCATCATCGATCCTGCTAAACGAACCCAACATCGCTCAAATTATAATATTTATCAGTCATTCACCTAATCATTACAGTGCCACTTCACTAGTCAACACTACTGTTTCGATTCAATCAATCTAACAGTTATCTAGCTCTCAATGTGTAATTTGACTTATTCTATGCCACAACAATGGCTACGTAAAATTGAACTGTGAAGGTAAATTTCATGAATTTTTAATTTATTCATAGCAAACATCCGTTCATCAATGAATTCTGAGTGATTGTTTTGATTTTTGAACGTACAATTGAGCTGTTTGAACATTCAATTATGAAAATGGCTTCACTATGCTTTCTTTCACCGGAAGCGCATTAATCATTTAGCATTGTATATCAAGTATGAAATGCCTTTTATATCAAGTGAAATTCATTGCATTCATCAAAATTCAGCGAGTTGTTTCTGAGCTTTTGTTTTTTGTAAATGTGTCGAATTGTTACGGGAAAGAATCTTCGTTAGGTCTCATCACGTTTATCTAATAATCAATTTGCGTGTAGAACTGATTAAATTGATCGTCGAGAAAGAAAAGTGATCATTTCAAACTTTACTGCAATATACAATTAGTTCCCGTATACGAGCATTATTTATAGCTAAACAGTACCATTAATTAAAGCACATATATAAAATATAGAGTGAACAAAATAAGTTGGCACGAAGTTTTGAAAAGTTATCGCAATAATTTTAGGATTCATTCTGGATATGGGACAAAATTGGATGATGGATAAATGTTATGATGATGAAGGTTGAGCGATGTGGAGGGCAGAGTGGAATAATTGAATTGCTGATATGAATATGAGGAAGTGGACGGGGAGGGAGATAACTGTACGGCTGCAGGGTACGGTATTAGTGCAGCAGTGCAGGATTGCGGTGTTGGGACTGAGTAGGATGGTGAATAAGACGAAGCGCTGTTGGTGGGTGATTGTTGCAGAGGGAATGCAGGTGGCACAGAGCTGGGTTGATGGTATTCAGAGCATTTCGATGAGTGTCGTTGTTGGGAGGCGACCAAAAGTCTGGGTTGCACTTGGAGAAGAGTTGCGATCAAATTGGTTGTCGTTTGACTCATTCCGTCACTCAACATGTGCGCATATTCGAGTGCTGTCGGTTGTGAGCCACTTTGCAGAATGTAATTCAACGCCGCAATATAGTTTCTGAAATATTCATCAATGAACTTTTGTTTATAAATTATCGACTCAATATCACTTTTAACATGAATGGCTTTGAATACTATCTTTATTGTTGTTGTTAATGTTGCTATATTGCTTCCAGTAATACTTATCATTCAATTCAAATTGCTGCATTGAATTCTTACGATTCATTCATATTTATTTACGATTGAAAGAAGAAGCAGTGTGCAAAGCGAAGCAAGGCAAATACGACTACGCTTATGGTGTTTCAGAGCACCGTAGTTCCATTAAATGACAAGTATACGATGTAAATGCACTAAAAACTACATATGGCGTTGAGAATATTCATGTTGGCATATATTTTACGACTGCAAAGAGATGCATTACAGTGATGTAATAATGTCCCGAATCGATCATCAACCCTACATTAACGACCATTCGAAGACGTAATTAAGCTCTCAGCGTTAATTAGTGCAATACTATCAAGCCAATAAGCTTACCTTAGCTAACAATGAATAATGTGCTTCTTACAGCAGCTAATTATCTCCTTAATGTGCTTACTGTTGTAAACATTGTCAACTATATGATTATTCTTAACTGTAGATTTATTTTCGCCTATAGTACAAGCTGTTGAAGTCTAATCTGAGACAATGCTTCATTGGTTAAAAAAATGTTTGCGATTGAGTTAAATGAATGAATAAACTGATTGATATTCCCTAGTAAAGGGGTATTGCATAGGATGGATTCATGAATGAGATTAGAAGTGATTATTATTGTTAAGATCACTTCGTTATCATGCAAGATGTGACGCAACTGACTATTAATTTGTTTCATTCGACAACTAATTAGTGTTTTTAGCACCTCCATCCATCCTAGCCTAATCATTGAATATTCTCGTCACAAATAAATGAACGTCTATTTTATTTGAATAAAACGTAAATAAACTCTCAGAGGTCAATAACAATAGAAGAGTGATTAAAAACGAACAAAACAAATACATCACATATTGCATTGTGGCGCCGTTAAATTAGCAACATTTTGATGGAGTGCGACTGAAGAGATGATGCCTATCAGCATCGTAATGTGATACAGTAGATATTTGAATGGAAATGAGTGTTGCGAATGGCAATGGTTGGGAGACGGTGAGCTATAGCTGATCTGATACTGATGTGAGGAATTATTTTACATCTCAGAAATTACATTAATTAAATGTCATTCATTCATTTAATGATCTTGCATTCTCACAATTATTCATTATTGTTATTATTGCTATTGTTATTATTACGGTTGTTATTATTGTTTTTGTGTTCTAATTAACGAACGAACGCAACAGAGTGCTGAAGGCTCTAGATAAGTGAAGTAATTACGCTGAGAATAGTATGAAGTACACTTGGAATGCTCTCGAGAATGCGGATCTTTTTTTGGAAGTTCACTACTTTCCCATCATCCAGCATTTGTAATTGGAATGGCAATGTATACTCAGTGAAACGTTCTTTTGCCTACGGTAACCTGTCTGCATACTCAAAGGTTAATTTGGTGCATTGATGCTAGACATACTAGATGATTTGATTTGATGAATACGGCAGAGCTGATAAGAATCAATGACTTATAGTAGTGGTTATCGTGGGAGAGGGGAGAAGAATTCAAGAATGTCCATGCGAGGAAGTAAGGAGGTTGGCAAATTAATGCTAACTAATTTTTTCATCTACTTGTCTTCGACAACAGTTTGAAAATTACATGAGAATGCTTGTTTTATCGCAGTGAAGTGGTTCCTTTGATATCAGTGATGAATTATTAACAGTACATTTTTAACCATTGAATCGTTTTTTCGATTTCTTTCATACAAATCGCTTACAAGCGATGATTTTTAACAGTTAGGCGGATATAAAATGGCGGTTTGCCATGCAGTCAGAGTGGAAGTAAGGAGTATGAGAATCGCTGAATGTTCTGCTGAATGTTAGTGTGAGATATCAGGAAAATAAAAACAAGGACAAACCTGGCCAGTCGAAGCGTTTCAATTTTGGACAGTTTCTGGTGTTGTGTGGTGAGTGGAACACACTGTCTGAGCACATCCAATGCCCTATTCAAGCCGTGCATACGATTGCGTTCTCGACAGTTCGCTTTTTGACGTCGTACTCGCGATTTTGGGTTTGATCCACCCGACGATGCGGAGGATGACGAAGATGACGAAGTCATTTTCACTGAGTATTCACCTAAATTATAGCTCAATCAGATGATTGCTTTTGTGTGAATAAAAACACAACGCTAAAATAAGCACATCACAAATTGATGAATGAAATAATAATGATAAAGTTGTTGATAACAATAGTGAAATAGCGATTGTTCAGTGAGAAGATACTGTAGCTGAAATAACTATCGTATGATGAAATCACTGAGAAGCGCATTCATGCATCCAACTCGGAAATGAGATTAATTCAGTAATGTCATCGTTTTTGCTGAGGATATGATCATGCGCAACGGAAATAAATAAATAAATGACCACTGCCACCTGTCGACACGCCCACAGCACGCATTGACCACTCCCATCAAAGATGACCCTAAACGTAACCTTACGATGGATGCATTCGAAGTGTTTACGGTGGATTTAAAACACATGAAACATCACTGAAAGTTTATCTATGTATCATTCACTATTACGATGACAGAAACTGCAATATTTATTTTGGATTGAACTGATTAAGTTTAAGCAACTGCACCGAATGAGATTGGAACATTGATTCGCTGATGGCATCGATCCGCTTGGGATTTATAGATGGGTCTCAAGGAGAGTATCGAAAATCGGACTGAAACAATACTAAATAAGGTTGAATGGAGAAATGTCCGGAGCTTGAGCCTGATTTTGAGCGTGAGGCTTAGGACAAACATTGGCCTGTACCATAGACTTAGCCTAAGGCTAACACTAAGCTCTGCTTGATCCAGTTCAAAATTTTCAGTTTTCGACATCTTCACGATAGCTTTTATTGAATGTTAAATGATCGTTTATTGTTGCATCTATGATAATTATTAATATCTTACTATCTCTATTCTCCTTCCACTTTTCTCTACATATTTCATCTAAAATCATCTGAATATTTTTGCTCTAGTGTAACTGTCACCGTATAATCGATTCATCCAATAACGAAATTGTTTATTTCAAAATGAGATTAAACATGTTGTTTTGAAATCTGTTTATGCGGTAAATATGAATGTTGATAAAATGCAATTAGTGAATGACTGCTTTGATGTGTTTATCCATTCATTTATACACACAAACACACCTCTTCAGAAGTGTTTGCTAAAGTCAATGGCGCATGCAACATTGATTATTCGCTGATCGCATCGATCCGCTTTGCATATGGCGTTACAATTCACCGCTTTAAAATCAAACAAACAAACGAACAATACGATACAATATAATTCAATACTCCGCTAATAATACAATAATCAAAGCTTTTTCTTGTCAATTAGAAGAATCGCTCATTCACAGACGGACGAAAGGAGACAGATAAAAGGTACGATTAGAGTGTTGCGCCAATTGTGTGTATTGCGAAGAATTAGTAGATTTACGTGAATACAGAAGTAGATTAAGTAAATACATAATGGCTGTCTTGGCTGATGTTAACAAAACGGTGAATATGATTGGATTAGATGAAATGTATTTGAGTTATTGTAAAGTTCTTTGAGCGCACCGACCGACCGACCGCAACAACTCTATGCAAATGCGTAGAGAGAGATCTTTATGGCGCATCACTTCTTATTCATTCTAATGATCAGGTTGATATACAATATCACATATGCGATTAGTAGGGCATGAATACTTTTATAAAACAATAACTTTTACTGCTACTGTTGCTCTATAAATGCTAAAGAGGAGCGACGTTCTTAATTCATTCAATTCGTTATACCACCATACTCATTCTTCGTCTTTTCGGCTTGGTCTTCCTTTATGGCTCACCGACATCTTATCACTACCTATAATCCTCTTAACCTATTCGAGACCCCCTGTTGCCCGAATGGCCCCATCATTAACAAACTCTTCCTTATCTCAAACAAGATTCATGTGCACTAACATACACTTCGTTAAGGACAATTACGTAATTGACATCGTATATGACACTGATCGCGCACAGATTGTATAATTATAATGCTATTAACGAGATATGATTTGCTAGTTTACTTTGATCTTAATATTGATCATGCATCCTACAAAATCACTGCTATTATTCTCGATAGGGGCAACTTTTGCAGAATTACTGTTTTATTATGAAATTATGTGGCATTCAGGTGTTCTACTCAAGAATGCGATTATTACCGTTGGGAAGTAATTTTTTACAATTTATGAAACACCATAGGTTATCTTGCACCTCGTAATGGAGGGCAAAATGCTTTTTCAATCTGATCCAACAGAGCAATCGCTGAACAATAATTATAGTGGTGCTTGATCAATCAAACAATCGATGGTTTTCTATTCGAATGCGTTGTGAATATGGAAAGAGCTAATAGATAAAGATGAATAAGTGAGATGAAAGCATTCGAGGATGCTGTATTGCTACGCTTAATTGCACTACAAAAGCTTAACCGCGTCCCGAGCGATTCATCTGCAAAAACTAAGCGTTCGAATTTGTCCGTATGATGACGCACTCCACTGCGTCGTCCCTCCACAAATCCATTAGATTAATCTGCAGCTGTACAGTGAAAGCGTATCCCCATCTGTATGCTTTTCGGTGCAATTCTTTCCCATTCATATCGAACAAAATTAGCTCAAGAGCATTCATTCATAGTGATTTTCCTCTTTTTCGTTCGACTTTCGAAAGAACCGCTGGAGCAGACCTACTTCTCCCACTATGAACGGTTTTGTGTAAACGATGGATGCTATTGCCAAAACCCCATCGACTTCAACACTGACAGACAATTGAATGCAAGCAAAACCATAGCTCAGGTTCGATAACATCAATGACATTCATATATCATCGAACAAAACCTTCTTTCCCCTGTGAACAGGACATGAATCAATGATTTGCCAATTTCCGGTTTACTATTCTAGCAACTAGATTATTGCATAGAAGGTTCAGGCTTCATTGAATGACACTTATAATTATTGGATATCGTCATCCATTACTGCATCAATTCGCCTTAGTTGTGGTTTGTGTCGTTTTCATTTTCAAAATACTGTCACATTCAACATTCCAATATCGTTCACAGCATCAAAATCACCAAATATGACTCTATTTGATACATCGGTGTGTAACGATGAGGATGAATATGAACGCGTCATTGGAATATTTATCAAACATATAATTTACAATCGCTTAAATGAACGATTTCATTTCTTGTCGGCAATATTGAATTTATACAACTATATTGATACAATGCACAGTAATCGGCATGATCTTTAAGAGATTCAGCGATTTATGCAAATTAATGAAGCGTTATTTGAGTGATGGTCATTGGTTTATTTATGAATGAATGACAGATTTCTTAACACATAATTCACACATTCATCATACTCTTGAAACGATACTCTCTCATCTTGCGATTTCCTTTTCAGTCAATGCCCACCAAGTGATTATTAATGCGACTGATTGATTTGTCACCTCGATTTATGTGCACATTAGAGGTTACCGACGTGATCAGTTGTCGGATGCTTAATTCTCATTCATTATTATTAATTTTATTAATGCTATTATTACTGATATTATTGTAAATGGTATCACTGGTATCATTTATTGTCACTGCTATCATTGTGCCTGATATCACTATGCATATAAATTTGCAATTGTTTGATATAAGATTACAAACCGCTAACGTACACACCTAATCATAAGCATTTCACCATCACAACATAGCAAATACACCGATACCATGTGAGGTGAAGTAATAAGAATAATCCGCAGTGGATGTTAATGAAATAAGATTTGATCGCATGTGATATGCATCATCACCTCTGTGCTCATCCTCCACTTATAATCACGTTACACACTTCACTGCATTTCACCTCAAAGAGCGCTTTCTTTAATGAAAGTAATAGCAATATGCATTATGCAATCACTGCTATTTTATCAAACACATTGTATTCTTAATACTATTAATATTATTTTGACATCGGATATTATTTACTGTAATCAAATATCAAATAACATAGCTCTCTTTCATTAACAATAAGTCAAATATCGGATATTCATCAAAAAGTCAACGTTCATTCTCTCCATAATACCTAATTCAATCTAGCATATTAGTTCAATATTGTTCAATTCATGGCTTCAGAAAATTTCTCTCAAAAAGTTGCACTCAAAATTAACGCTGTCTCAGTGGTAGCTAGCTAAATGAAGCACATTAACTGCAAAAGATATACTGCCAGTCTCGTTCGTACATGAACTGACCAGTTCTTATCTATTCACGACGCAATTCATGTGCTCGTATGAATTGCCTCGTGAATAGATAAGAACTGTGCCCATTCATTCTCACAATCACAAGGCAGCACATTTCACAATCAAAAAATCGCATTTTCTCGCACATTGAATACTCACTGAAGAGTTAATCGCTCGTTCTTTAGATCGCATCTAACACATTCAAAAATTCATCGCTCAGTTCCTGAATTCAACGAAATTCTCACAAAAACTTTCATTCAGTATCGCCTTCGCCTCAAATATTTGCTTGCAGTAATTTTCGTTAATTTGTAGTTGAATTCGTCAACTTCCTGCACTAGTTGATCTGAATGGAGCAAGGATTTGTTTAACGATTACTTGAGGCAATAGTAATGAACAAATTGTTGAATGAGATTACTGCTTGGCAATTATGTTGTTTTATTGCGCTTAATAGCACCTCTTACATATAATCAACGTTCAATTGCTGTTACAATAGACTACAATAAAATGCTACAAATTGCAGTGTTCATCATCTAGCATTTTGGCTGTTCAGAATGGTCAAGTGTAATTGAAGAGTTCAGCGTTCAGAGTGAGTGCGGATACTGCTCACTGACAATGAACACTGCCATTCAATGGACTGACCTTTTTATAGGTGTTATTCAACTGCACTACATATTATACGTAGTATCTCTTGTTATAATGGAGTAATAACATTTTTTGATTATACATAACTGAAGTAACTAAATGTGCTCAAGTGACTATTCGTGTAGTGCACTTTCGAGTAGCTCATAAAACGTGTAATCCATCCTTGATCGCAGTCATAATCCTCTGAATTCAATTCAATTTGTTCTAATTCGTAATTGTCTAACACCCTGCACTTATGGCAATTGAAAGTAGTGCACAATTAATCATATTTTTTGGTGAGATTGTTGTCGTTTAACCTTCACGAAAAAACACGAAAACTACGCTTATTACGACACTTGAACGTAATCATCTGCAAACAATCACTCCCCTCAACAGCTACTGTCATCTAAATATATACATAAACCTATTGGCTGAATAGTCCATGAGCTAATTCAAGTGCAGCTAACTCGACGTGATGTTCCACTAACGTGCTACAAGCACACGAATGAAATGAGAAAATACTAATTTTTAAAAAATTATTTATCTTATCTTCTTTTCCAAAGTTATCATCTTTGTGATACCAACAAAAAATTGAACGAATTTCCTCCTTCTAGACCGCTCAATTATTCTTTTAAACGTAGACTTTTTCGCACAAATCTACTTCAATACCCTCCATTCAGTATTATTATTGCAATATCTGACTACTGAGCAATAAACACGATCTGTTACTGCCATATGGCATGTGCTCCATATCACATATACTTCAATCAGCACATTGTCATATCCAATTTGTTGTTGTCTCTTCATTCATAAACTCACAATCGAATTTACCAGTAATCCTTTGAGCAAATCATTTCTTCTACGTTTCAGCTTCCAGCAAATTAACACTCATTTTCATTTTTAACATTTCATTGATTTATTCCACCGACTCGTCAAAATTTTTATCATCCGATGATTTTTATTGGATGATATAATGAATCGGTTGATAACAACAGTTGTGCGTGTGTTGCATCGATGATTTGAGAATCAACGAAAATATATTGCAGCTATTGAATTGTTTCTTTGAACGCATAAACGAAAATATCAAATTTTCCGGATACTCATCAACAGAGACAGTAGAATGGCTCGAAAGTTGAGTTTGTAAAACCTGTGCATATACTATCGAACTATGAGACTAGAAAATTTATGAACTGGAAATAACAAGGAAGGTTTTGGAAGGATGCTCCAGAAATACTCAAGGATACACGAACAAGTGAACAGCTGAAACTCAAGGAACAACTGAAAAATTGCCATCACTAGGTTTGGATGACCCCCATATATAAGATGACTTAAGATAACTCTCAAAGTCTACGATGAACGGACTGACGATCAGAAAAAACGCACAAAACTTGATGCTTCTGCCTGAGAGTGATCTCATGATCCGTATACATGAGTAGGTAATTGAATCGCAGGTTCGATTCCTAATTCTGGGAAGCAAGGGGTAGTTTTTGCTCGAAACCAAGTGGTGTACCAATGCCATTGGCCGGTATACATTTCAGTACCATAGCATTATCGTGCACAAGTTTGCTTCACCATTTGAGAGCAATGAAACAACTTCTAGCCTGTCATTGCATCCCTTTCGCTACCATAACTTACTACTTCCACGCATAACGTCAGAACTAATTTCCGAATCCTCTCCATTACCCCCCACCTGGACACCCATAAATTACTCAAAGGTGAGTAATTTCCTCTATATAGGGACTCCTGTTCTAGATGATAAAATCATTGTTCTAATCATATACGCAAATGTAGTACCAAAAACTCGACCATCCTTACCTATTACCAGTATTACGTTCACGTCTGACCTCAAACAATTTGATAGCCAAAACAGACTGCACTCGTTTTGAATGACTGCTCGAACTAATAACAAACCACTTCAACATCACAACCGGAATAATAGCAATCATCAAATTGACGAGCGATAAATCGCGTAGAATGTTGTCGTCGATAAAAATTTATCGTGATAAAGTGAAGCAACAGCTGCATGTACACCTGACAAACCTTTCAATCGGAACACGATCAAAAGAGTTTGGATGTTATCTGAAAGAAAATTATAATGTGAAAACTGTGCAGTGGAATCAGCTTCAATATAGCACTCTGAACGCGATTTCAGCTTAACGTTGTACGATTGTGATCAAAGATGTCAGTGACTAATTTGTTGGAAGCGATGCAGTGACTAATTAATGTGTGATTTGATGATATTGTGGCTTTTGTTTGTGTCGTAAACGCTTATATCCAATGAATTTTCAAATGAATAAATTTCAAAAATCATTTACCTCACAATTACGTTTTCCTATAAGATGAGGCTCAATGTGCATAATTTTCATTACGTATAGGCGTGCAACGAACAAAGGTAAAGTGTGATCAAAGTATATGGAAATATCAATGTAAAACAACAAATTCATTTAGCATTACACTGAATATATAATAAAGTACAACGTATTAAAACATCAAATATCAATATTCGCATGATTATTATTACTGTTACTATATAGGATCCTTACCAACAATCAGAGGGAAACAATATTCAGAGAAAAACGTCAAAAAAGGACAAAACAACATCGTACAGTTACATAACAGCCCAACGAAAGGTGCTGATTTGATAGAATAAATAAACGATCAATATAAGAGAAGTTATTCCTGAAAGATGGAAAAGTGCAAGCATTAAACGAATTTTATGAATGGAGTTAAGATTAGATAACATTTGAGAAACAGCGATCGATATGTGATCGATGCAAATTTCATTGCTCCTCTATTCGCCGAACAGTGAGAAAAATCAGTTGATATCGCGGAAACAATAACAACAAATGCACAACAGCACAGCACTGAAATAAACGATCAAGTGCGAATAATCCACTGAGAAGACATCACTGTGACGTACGAAAAGAAAGTATCCGCTTCAAGAAGCTATTCAATGAAATCTGAATAGTCGCTGTGAAGTTAAAAACATTAAAAATTATCAGAATGACTTATTTGATCATAATTAGTAAATATTAAGCAGCAAATGAAAGCACTCTTCAATGGAGAATAAACGAAATTGGGCGCGTTTCATGATCATCACAAAATATTATGGTACATTACTTTACATACATGACTGATCAGTGAAAACACTTCAAAGTTCGAACTTGATTATGGATACACAATCAACTTTCGATATTGCGATATGTAGAACCTTTCCACATTATTCCACGTGGTGAATGCAAAATGTATCAGTTAAAAATTTGAATTCGCGTGGAGAAAAGATTCATTACTTATTTTGTTCTTGCAGCATTGTCGATGTAACAATGCATTTGTATAGTAAATGGAAAAATATTACGCAACTTTTAGGTTTGAACATATGAGAGACATGCGAGACAGAGATGAGATGCTGAAATGGATATGAGAACTGCGTCATTTGTCAACATAAATCAATAAATTTTAACCTAAAAAAATGTCAATCGTTAATTATTTGAAAAATGTGTACCAAAAAAACAAGTAAGAAGTTAAAGAAACCGGGCGAAGAGAATTTGTGGAAAACTGCTTCAAAAGATGGAGAACAACAACAATAAGAGTGATGCAGTAGTGAGCAAACCGAAGAGAAGAGCACAAAAATGCACTGATTATGAAACACATTAACACCTCGACCCAATCAACCCCCACACCACACCATATATGTATAATACCGCAATAATTGCTGGTCACGTGCACTCAAATATAAATATCCTTTGCGCCATATGACAGTTAAAAAAGCATGACATAAATCAGCAGTCTTTTCTGACCGCAAAATAATCATAGTGAGATGAGACGGGACAAAATGTTTGAAGTGGAGCAGGATAATTTACAAAAATGAATGAAACTTTGGTGTTTGAAAGGTAATTATGTTAAATGATAGAGAACAGAAACAGAAGAATACCTTAATAAAGCACACACGACCCACCTTCAACTAGTTGCTATAACAGTGCGATGGCAATTAGGAATCAATCAATTAAAAGGTAACAACTTATGGACAGACCAGAACTAAGCAATAAAATTCTATAAAAAAGAGTGGATATTAGAAACAATTAATCAGTGGATGGATGGTGGTGATGATGTGAAGGGCGTGATGCGTTTGAAGATGCGCTGTTGACATTCTGCAGCTCAATGGTCTCAAACGATGTTGTTAACTCATCTACATTACCAAGTTCATTCGCCGAGTTCAAGTCATGGAACAGATCACCACCGCCAAGATCTCGTAAACCACCATCAGATGGCTGAAATGCATTAAACAAGAATTGGAGCCTTTATAAAAATTGTTCAGAATAGCCCTCATTTATTAGCAGATGAAAGTGGCCAAACTGATTAGAATGATGACAGATGACACAACAAAATGCGAATAAATCAAACGATTACCAAATTGAGCTGTATTGAATCACTGCCGTCTAAGTTAAAATTGTCTACCTGAAATGCGCTCTGAAAACAAGGAACATACAGTGCAAAGCAAACGCCTCATTTTTAAACTACAAGTAAGAGTGAAACGGAATATATGATGCCATAATGCTATTTAAAAAATCGATAGCACTGCTTTCTTCAATTAAAGAAACCGGATTTTTCAAATCCAATCCGATGGAACTGAAATCAACATGAACGGAGCAAAACGAGGCGAAATAAACGAACATCATTTGAAATTAGTGGTACACATGAGGCCATCATGAGTGTACTATCGAAACTGTTGTTGTAGGCAATTGGTTGTCGATCGAAAGTATTAGATGGCATTGAGTAGTGTGAATCCGTGAATGTTTCATTTGAAATTGGTGTGACCATCTGATGATGGGAGTGATGATGTGATGTGGCTGTTGAGGATGTGCTTGGCACAGCCTCGCCATGCATACCACTCATACTCTCTGCACAATAATCAGCACGCATCGATGACGATGGTGCTGTCTCGAGCGATATAAATGTACTCTCACCTACAAAAATACCACAAACTATGCCAACACAAAGATAATCGTTTAAAGATAATCGCGCTACAAACCAACTGCAATATACAAACGACTAGACTTACCCATCGGAAGTTGTCCAAGATCAGTATCGAAGTACTTCTGATTGCTGGAATTTGGCGAACGAGATGAGGCGTTTGGCGACGAAACAGGATTATAATGGTAGCATTCGACGTCGGCGTGCTGCGGTGATTTTGGTTTGGCTTGTCCAGACTCAACTTGCGTTATTATATGCGTTATACCCGGCTGAAAATTTTACCATTCGTTCTCACTTCTTTTTGATATTCATAAAGGAAGACAACAATATCGCAGCAAAAAACTTACCAACGGTAAAGCAGTTGCCTCGAATTGCACGTTATCATCCTCGAGCACTGTCGGTGCAGCTTGTTGTTTGGATGCAACTTGAGAACATCCGAATGGAACACCCCATTCATACGTTTCCACACAAGCTCCGCTTGCGTCTGCACTGCTTGCCGACGAATCTGCAACGAACTCGAATCCAAATATACACGACAAATGATCAGAGTAGGTACACGAATGACGAATAAAATAAAAACGAACATTTTCGATGCACTAGAGATTGAGGCGATAACGATGATGTGGCAGCCATGGCAGCCACCCCACCAGTCATACAAGCAACCTGCGCAGGTCCTTCTTCACTTGGATACGGATCGATCGGCTCGAAGGCATCATACTCACTTGCATACTGAAAATACTCCCAACAAAACTTTAGAAACGACCAATACTACAGAAAACGACCAAGAACAATAAACAACACATTCATACTAAATAATATCACAAGGAACAATATTGAATGTTAAAAATTCTCAATAACGACTAACCGTTTGTGGACAATTAACGAAATTCGTATGATCGGCACTGTGCTGACTCAGCGAACGTCTCACTGAACCGCCGTAAGACAACGATGAAGACGATCCGCAAACATCTGTTGTAGCTATTGGTGGGGTGGCACCCGGTTGCAGTGTCACGTGACGCATTGCAAACTCCATTTGGTCGAGTGAACGACTGAATTTTACTCATCAGCACTAATATTTACGAGTTGATCACATCAATAACGTTACACAAAAAACATTTTTTACGACTCGGTCGCCTATATATATAAACTATAGAAAAGTACGAAAAAATTCATCGATTGTATTGATCGAAACAACCCTATTTGGATTGTTTTGCTTGCGATCAGTGATTCATCGAAACAAAGTGATAGGTAATCAATAACGAACCTGTGATCAGTGACAGGAAGCCGTGACGATGCGTACATATTGCCCAATGATGCGGAACGTGTCTCCGCATAATGTGGCTGATGGGAAGGTGCATAGAACGTATTATAATTATCTGAAACTACGAAACATACACTGATGACGACAATATTCTAGACGCTATAGGAATGGAAAGTGATTGCAAAAATGTTGAACAACGGAAGGATGTGAGAAGTGAAATAAAGGAACGAACTTCGATGGAAGAAGTCGACTGACGAAGGCGATGGCGATGATTCAATAGTACTCTCGATAGCGCCATTCGGTTGATACACTGGACTGCCGATATTGAATGTAGCTGAATCGTTATAACCCGCTGAAAGGTTGCCATTCGAATAATCACTTCATTTGATGAATGAACATACGAATGGTGATGAATTGAAAGTGAACCTTTGTTTTGAAGAAATCGATCCACACCGAAATCTCGTCTCGACTGTCCGCTCGCGTTACTATGATTACTGGCACTGGGTGAACGCGATACCACGGCACCACCCGCTTGAGTCGATGGTGGACGTGTACCCGTGTAACTGCTACTACCATCTGGCGATTGAGATCGTTCACCAACAAAACTGCAACTCACATTTTTAAATGCAGCTCTATCGATTCCAGAGATCATTAATCTGATTATTAATCACCGATTACTGATTTATTTTCAGATTGCAGTCTAATCGTGGATAGTACAGAATGTGACTACTAACTAACGTACCAGTGAGGTGCTTGTTGTACACTGCTGCTTGATGGGGGTGTCCTTTTCTGGCGTTTCTTCTTACCCGGATGAATCTTCTCAGCTGGTGACGGAGTGCCAACATCCACATCACCATCTGAAAATAAAAGGATAGTATAAAAAGCCGTTCTCAAATGACACACTGATCACTTCAATACACTTTCACCACAAACCACTCCATAATCTATTCAAAGAGGTGATCACTAAAACAGAAATTCACAGAAACAAGTCAACAATGATCTGGACAACCTTCTTCATCATCGCCTTCACTCATTTTCGACGCAACGCCAGTATTCAGCAACATTCTTGTCGCCAATTTCGTCGGTTTCTCGTCAATTGGCTCACTCCTGCCCGGCAGTATTAAAGGCTTTTGTACAACACTGAAACAAACCGAATTGACCAAATCCCTAATTAACATAAATAATTTTATATTTCATTAAGTAGGCTCGCCAGGTAAACCTTACATAAGTATATGTTTTCATAACAATGCCAACATAATTTATCGGAAATCTCTTAAACAATTTATGAACGACTGTCATTCAATCGACAATTTTTTAATGACAGACTTCAGTCCAATCACGGATTATCTATAAACTCTTCAAGCGTTAATCGATCGATCGTTATACGAGAGCATGGTTGGGTTTAAAAATTACCTCGACGATGGCTGAGGTTGTGGCTGTTGCGGTGCTATATAGGCTGTTCCGTTGGCCCGTCTCCTCCTGACCGGTTTCTTTCGCTTTGTCATTTCATAAGCCTCTTCACCGTGCACTGTTTTGATATGTTTTCGTAACGATGACGGATCCGTATAACTTTTGGTACAATCGGGCATTACACATTGATATGGCTTCTTAAATTGCACTCTATTCAGTATTATTTCATCAAATAAACCTCAAAACTAATTCTTATGCATCGACGCATTCTTTTATGATGAAAGTCCAGCTCAAAACAAATTTCAAAAATGAATTCAACAAATCAGATGAAATATTCGAAAAACTCAAAGAATAATGAATCGAGCTGGTGCACGAACCGTATCGGAATGAGTTCGGTTCTGATGTTTGGCACGGTCCGACGCATTGCTGAACGCTTTACCACAATTCGCATACTCACATTTGTATGGACGTTCGCCTGTATGCGTTCGCATATGCGTCTTCAAATTTTCCAAACGGCTGTATGACTTATCGCAGCCAGGGAACTTAAATTCACATCACCCAATCATTATTATTAGTATCATCACCAAACTCTACTCTATTAAACACAATCATCACCCTTTAAAAAACACCAAATTCAATATCAATAATGGAAACGAACAAAAAAATGCAACGAAAATCGACAAGACAACCCATATCAATCAATAACACTCACCGAGCAAACGTTCGGCTTCTCACCGGTGTGTCTTCTCATGTGCACCACGAGCATATACTGCGCTTTGAATGCCTCCTCACGATCACACCCTCTCCACATACAACAATACATTTTTGATGTTTGCGGCTGTAATCACTCAATACTTAATTATAAAACAATTACAAGTGCTAAACAACAACGACTGCTGCTCACTTGAATGTGTGCAACGAGCACATGATCGACAAGTGCTTTCTGTGTACCGAACACTTTGAAGCAACCGTCCCATTCGCACGTCAAATCCTCCAACGTTTCCACATCCACCAACTCGGCTCCGTTCCCTTCAGTCACCACTTGAGGTTTCGAATTATCCGCATGTTGACGTGTTGTACGTCTGTAACAACATCCTTTTCATAATTAAATTAATCAACAATCAATCGAGAGTGAACTCATTACGCAAACAACACAAACACACATACACACCTCGCACTTGACGAAGATGGTGTAACGGAATGTCCATCCATAATATTAACAATATTCTTTTTCGTTTCATGCACTTGTCCATCGCCATAACGTTGAATATGCGTCTTCACAACATGTTCATCATCATCAGCCATGTTCTTGCCATTCCTAAATTTGCGATGAACTTACTGCAAAATAAGACAACAAACTGCAATCTTTTTATGCCAAATTCTTTTCACGAAATAATCAACCAAATTCTTTTCACGAAAATTCTCAATACTAACTTAAACAGAAATGAAATCGGCACACCACTCGGTTTCGAGCAAAACCCGGCGGTCGGGAATCGAACCCGCGATGCACCAATTACCGGTTCGGGTTCTACCTCTGAACTACGGCGGAGACCGTTCAGTCTCCGCCGTGTGACTGTGTCAAGATCGCAATCAGTTCTCCAGTGCACATAATGGGAAATTGATCTGATGAGCGTCAAACGCTACGATCAGAGCGAACTGATCTGTCCGCGATCACGACAACATAACGAATAATAGCAGATAATTAGATAATAGATACAAGCCGGATCATAGCCCGGCTCGGGCTCACAACAGTAATGATATTGGTACACCACTCGGTTTCGAGTGAAACTTTCCTTCGAGGTAGCTCGGAGGTAGAGCCCCAACCGGTAATTGGTACGTCGCGGATTTGATTCCCGTTCGTGGGGGAAAGTTTTGCTCGGAACCGAGTGGTTACCACTATCATTTCTGTTTAAGTGAATGTTGAGAATGAGCCCGAGCCAGGCTATGATCCGGCTTGTATCTATTATCTAATTATCTGCCATTAAACAGAAAAGCAAACAAACCTCCGTCGAAATGTATTCTTGTTCTGATCCGCCGACTGCATGCCAACTTCATTCTGTAAAATTTACTTTTCATTAAATCCAATCCATCAAACGAGAATGTATAAAATCGAAAGCAGCGAATAAAAACTGCAAACAAACCGAATGAATGGTTCGTTGTGTATGTGCCAACGTGTCATGCAATGCGTTGATAACGGCTTGAGAACGATTCAGACTCGCTTCATTATTGATCGCATTCGTATCGTTGTTCAACGGTCCTGGAGTGACAAGCGATGACCGTATCGATGTCGACGACGCACCGCTATCCGAGAACGTATGCAAACTACTCAATGAACGATCGTTCTTTCGTTTCCGACTGTATTCACCCAACGCCAAATCTAAAAACATTCTTCTAATTGAAATGATTGCATAGCACTACTCCTCTTTCATGCTTTCATTGTTGTGTCTCAAATGAAATGAAAACGAGAAAGAAGCCGTATCAAACAAGAAATAATATCAGTGATACATCTGCAGATACAGATTAGAAACAATTGCTCAATACTAAATTATGAGTTGTTTGTGTAAATCATCCGCGTTTTACACTCACTGCAACGATCAGTGATTTGCTCACCATCATCAGAAGACGCACAATAGGATGGATCACTATCCGATGAGGAGGCCTTCTTTCGTCGTTTCTTTTTGGTTGTTTTCACATTGGTTTTGGAAGCGGCTGGCGTTTGTCGTTTTGTTGGTGGCTTTCCGAATAAATTTGACAGTGAGAATACAGGCGTCAATTTCTTGTTCTCATTCTTCACTTTGGGCTCTTTTGACCTCTTTTGTGATCGTTGTCCAGGCTGCTGCTTCGAATTGGAAGCGCTCAAATTCGATACTTCTCGAGATTCTTTTTTCAGCGGTTTTTTGCCATCATTAGCCGGGGCAGCAGCAACATCATTAGGCACGTAACCAGACGATTCATTCCTTTCCTTCGAAGCAGTTTTGCCCAAACCGTTCTCTTCGGATGCAGTGCTTGCTGCTGGACTGAGTAGCTTTTGAATTTTGCCCTTCAGACCCCTTTTCTTCTTCTTTGGTTTTGGACTCGTCTCCTCGGATTTCTGTACTCCAGCCTCCATACAAGACGATGGGTGAACAAAATAATTTGCTCAGCAATTATTAAGCATTAAACTGTCAGTTAACTGGTTAGGTAAATAAATGCACAACCCCGATTCAACGACTGAAATTCCAGTTAAAATTCAGTATGACAACAACAACAAGACAACGTATAACGCTTCAGCGATACAAAGCAGATGTCAACGACGACACGATACACAAATACTGCAATACAGTTCTCATCAACACTGCACGTATTCGAGTCTTAATCAACGAAATTAATCGACTTTTTTGAGATTAAGCATTGAATTTTAAAAAACCCTAAGCTAATCACACAAACACTGCTGCTGATAAGATAATTTATTGAGTGAATTTCAGTTAATCAACACTGGGTGATTCTTGACTAATTCATTGACTCATGTATTAAGTGGATTAGATGAATGATGATAAAGCGCTCATAAAAATAAGTTTCGCTCGTTTTTTTCACCTCTATCGTCTCTGCCACTATTGGATGGAGTCATTCGATCAGTGAAATAAAATCATATACAGCCACAAAGCCAGCCAATAATCACTAAAATGCGTTCAATATAAAACTTGAAAATTGCAACAAAATTTCTCGACGACGAATAAAATTTTCAAAAAACTTCACAAATTCCTTTTCATACTTCACATTCTCCACAGGCAAATATCTCACCATAACGACACACTAAACGATTTCTGTGTTCATCTCCACCCGCAAATACAGTTGTTTTAGTGGCTTGAACTGCTCTCCCCACTAAACACTACTAACACACCGCTGCCGTCGCCTCACACTCACTCACTCTCTACACACGCTCGCTCGACAACGCGATGCCGCTCGCGATCGTTAATCGACAACGACAATTGCGAAAGGTCTACGACAATTCGCTTCGTTACAAAGTGCCACTCCGACAATTTGCGAGTGCCTCATCACTGAGTAGATAGGTGCTTTTTGTCGGAGTTTAGACTTGTCTTTAATGTATTTATCGGTCACCCGTTAATCAAACAAGCATTCCTGAGAGTGAGCTGCTAAGAAATGTTCGATATTGCGAAGAGCAGTCTTCGAGTGGTCGGAGCACACTCTGTGCTGCACATGGATGGGATGCAACATTCAGTGGTGATGTGCATTGCATTGCTGCACAACGAACTGAGTGAGACTGCAGCAAGAAATGGTTCGAGCAAGTTTGAATTGATTTTTGGATAGCAGCAACGAGCGCATAGCAAGAGTGCAGAGAGCAGTAGCCTCGAACGAAGAACTATTGCTGTGTTACCACCATCACGATGACGTTATGCGGCCAACGACGAGTTTGTTCGTTCGTTTTCTGCGAGGATATTTTTTCCGTTTCCAAGAATATGAATATGGGAAAAAGAAGAATAAAACTCCCTGTCTAGCGCATTGAATTATAGCTAGAGTTGAGATTAAAGAACGGCGCAAACGCAAAATCTTTCTACCTCTAAATGGACGGCTCTAATTTCAATACTCTGGTTTGCTTTCTCAATCTCGTTTATATTTTTAAGTTCAGTGTATTAACAATCAGATGATACCATGCAAAACTGAGCAAAAAACGCGACTCAATGCGGAAAAATACACAAAAGTTAGAAGATTACGCATGGAAATGCGAGAATAAAGTTGGAATTCAAATACAAAACATTTTCTTTTCACAACGATAAAGCCGAAAAGTATTTCATGAAATCGAAATACGACAACAATGAAATATTCAGCGATCCCTCAGAAACGGCGAATCTTTGTTGAATGGTGGACGAATAATGTATTATTTGATTGAATAAAGACAACATCAGTGAATGAAGTGTTTCAGTAAATTAGTCTTTGTTTGTTGAGTGTATGTATGTAAATGTTGATAATTGATGAAGGTTATTTGGATAAGACGTTAGTTAGCCATTAAATTTGCATTCCAAATCCATTTATAACCATAAAATTTATTCATTTCGAATCGAATTTAGTATCTATTCTAATTCGACAATATGTCTGCCCTTTTTTGTTAAAATTTCTCAAATGTAGTTCCTCATTTCAGAAATTCTTCCAATACAAATGCACAATAACTAGTTTCGCTTTGTCCTCAAGTTCAAATGCCCGTTCGTTGTTACGACATCTTTTTTCTTGCAGAGTAAATAACCGAATAATCTTTTCATTCTGCTCCTTCCATACAAACCTCAAACTGCAAATCACACAGGCAACAGCAATACCGCCACGAGCAGATAGTATGTAACACACCCGCCACAACTAGATAATATGGACGAGAGCGATATCTGCTGAATGAAAAAAACCGAATAGTTACTGATGATATAACAGATTGTTATGAATAGAGCTGATATTCAACAAAATATGCTCTGATAAGCAATCTTCTCGCTTATTTGATACATCCATCCAACTTTAGTCTGCATACAATGAAGTGAAATGATGAATTTTTGAGGTGACTGAGTCGTATTATCTCGTTTATTGGTTCCATTTGGAATGGTTCTTATTTTATTGGAACGTTGCATGCTTTTGGTTGGTTCTTATTGGAACGAACTGTTTATTGCACGAATCATCGGCGATTGGTTTCGTGATCAGTTGACAATTAGTGTCTATGGTCGAATTCGTTACGTTATGAACAACAATAAATTTATTACTATTGTCGCGATCAAAATTATTAGTATTATTGAGATCGATGAATCCGCACAATTTAAAAAATAAAAAGTGACTTTATAGTTCATTTAAAACGATACGTTTAATATCATTTTTATTACCCATTAGAAAGATTTCTCGGCTCTACTGTATCACTGATAAAAAGCGACAAAAAATGATAAGGATTGATAATAAAAGAATGCACAGCTAGATCGAGAGACGTACAAGAGAATGCCACATTTTCAAATACAACATTCACAATTTGTATGCTGAAATTTGATGATCGCGAATAACCTTCGCTCTCGTATCGTCACCGTATCAACGTATCATCACTGATGGAATAAATAAGACAAAATAGAAGAAAAATGAACAAAAATGAAACAAAACCTTCAAGAGATGACGATGACAGAGGGCTGGATAATCCAAAAGGTGAAATGTTCAGCGGTGTGAACGGTGAGTAGGTTGCCGGTAAAGCGCCCAGTGTTGACGCATTAGCGTTCATTGCAGTGGCACTGTTCGAACTCAACTGTTGATCAATGTTACGGCGTTGATATAAGGCCATCAGTGCTGCTTGTCTGAAATATTGCGAAACCATTCAAATGTTATCTCCAATCAACATTCATTTTGGTATAACATTCAGTTTCGAGCGAAACGGACTCGAAATCGCGTCAAGTATCAATTTCCGATCGGATGCTCCATCGCTGCTTCGAATTTTGGTCGTGCCGTAAACGTTTAATCCACGACCAAAACTCGAACGTACCAATAGTGTCACTGATGTTGTCGAGCCTAAGTCAGCACGCTATGATTCATCTTCTGTGCAATTATCTGATCATTAATACATCAATTCTCAATCCACCCACTTATCAGCCTACAAATTCATTTCATCACCGCTTCTATAGCCCTTGTAAGCCATAACCGTTTCATTCAATACTGCTTCTAATCGCTTCGGAACGAGTCATCAAGTCAAATCAATCGACGAATCCAATTTCGAAATTTTAAAGATCACATAAGTGACTGCTTTAACCTACGGTAGAAAGCGTCCAAGGAATACGCTTTATTAACTGACTTCAATTAGAGAAGTTCAGTAAGCGATTAACCAGCTGACTGACTGATTTCAATTACGGAAATTTGGTATAATAAAATATTAACTGGATCGGTTCCGCAGTAAAATTGTTCACTACAGTAACATCTTTTTCTAACGCGTTTCATTCGGCCAGATCGGCTCCAACGGAACGAACGACAACAGGTGCCTTCACATGACACCTATACATCGAAATACGCATACTGAATTCGAATAACAATCAAAGAATTTTGTTTGAATGCTGTTTTCTTCCAGTTGAAAGTAATTCACCATATATCACTGCAACAAAACCCATCCAGAACAGCTGATTAACGAACTGATTCATATTAAGCTTAGCCTATATCTTTTTAGTTAATCATGTGCCATGCTGTACATTTGAAAGGTACACAGTAGCACTCGCGAAAAATTTACCATACGAAATGCTGATCGAAAAAATTCAATTTTGCACAATTCTCTAATTGAAAGGCGCCTAACTTGACTTCTTGTTGTAGCATGCGCTATAAAAGCTACTGTACTGCGAGGGATGAATACCTTTTTCCCCTATTACTTCAAAACACGTCGTTAGGTTTTGGTCAGAGTCGGCAGAATTACATTAAGATGCTTCTATTAAGCATGTGAAAATTCAAAAAAAAAACAACCATTTAGAACTTTGGGAATTCTTTCAAACTTCAAACACCACTTTTGGATTGCAACAATTTTGCTCAGCCGGCATGCACTTCGCAATGACGAAATTTCTGCTAAATTTTCAAACATTTTAAAGAACGCCGCAAAAAATATTGCACGAGGAAAAGAATATGTGGAGAACATATGCATGAATAAATGAGAATGTCTCAATATGATTGAACGGATGAATGGAAGTGAAGGGAAATGGATGCGATGCAATGAAATGTAATGGAATAAACCGAAAGAGCACGAAGCACAACAATTCAAAGGTTACATTGAAATGTGTGCAGTTGTTGTGCAGATGACGAGCAGTCAAAGCAAACACTTATTCGGATAGATTTATAACCAAAAAAAGGGTTTTTCGTGCATTGCATTCGTTCGATTGGATGAATGGATGGATGGATTGATACGATGCTTGTCCGGTGATATTTGATGGCTAACGGTTGATGAGAAGAACACACCACTTCGCAAGACTCATCGCTAAGGTGCACGACGTTTCGACGCCGCTTTCGAATACGTTTGGAACATAGAGATCAGATGTTTCGGATTCTGCTAACTTAACTAGTCCACAAAAATGGAAGAAGCCATTCTTGCGCTAAAATGGCGAAAAAAGAGCAAAGGAAGCAAGACTAGGCACTGACTATTGGTGAAACATGAAATAAATTCAAATATCTCTTGCTATCTACCGACAAACCACAGAAAAATTTAGCAATTAACGATTTCGCTTTCATTTCCATTCCTATAACCTCTATTTCTACTCGTTCCTCTCTGTCGTTTATTTATTTATTCGTAAACTACCATTTACGCATTAATATCGTTCCTCAATCGCTCTCCACATAAAATATCCTCCATCCAGTCACAATACTAATAATAATTAGTTCAACAATATTGCTATGAACATTTTTGTGTTGCGATAAATATCGTGTGTAAAAAATTTGTCGAGACAACAAAATGAGCAAAAAAATGTGATCAATCGCGAAATTTTAATCGCCTATTTTACGACTGATTGCACAATTTCATCGTGCCATATATGAATGCGATTCGAATTTAATATTATTACCGACAGTTGTTCACTTTAATAGCATTATGAGGCAGATTTGCGCTTCAAATTGCATGCAAAAACACACAAACACTGCATACTCTTTACTTGTTTTGTTTGCTGGGGTTTACCACTTACGGCAATGTTCATACCAGCGTTCAAGTCTTTCATACTGTGCATCACTGTTAAAATCTACACAGAGGGCAGTTAAATTAAACCGACGGCGTTGAAAGTTTATCGTGGCAAAAAGTTGGTGTCAGTATGATATTCGAACCAGAAACCCCTCAGAATATGTACCCACCGTCCCGTCGGCAATGAAGCCATAACCGATCACGCTAAAAAAAAACAATAAAAACTTTGCGTTAAACCAGGATCTGAACCGGAAAACTCGAATACTAAATACTTCTACAATAGCCGATATGATGACTGGCTACAGTAATGACGTTCGGTTGGGTGGAATGATTAATACGGCTGAAGAGTGTCAGCAGTCAGCAGTCAGAACCGTCGTTGAGAGCGCAACAAAAATATTTGTGCTTGTCTAATTGAAACGACCAAATAATTAGCATATAATTGCTTTGTAGTGTCTACGTACACAATACGATACATACGTGTACGGTTTGTTGCATCGTAAAGAAGTGAAATAAACGTACACAAAAAATTTGTGTCGTAATGAATGAATTTGAAGAATGGAAACGAAATGAAATGCAAACAGAAGAATGCACAACAAACAAAATACAATTCATCTTCCTTCCCCAAAGCACATTTTTTCCGGATCGTTCTCATTCAAAAATGTTCGTTAACCACAAGCAAACGCAATGTAATCACCGTCGTCTGCGTTCGACGGCTGAGACCGATCGACGCAATCGTTTAACGATGAGAAGCACAGGCTGGTTCGTGATGGTGCTGATGCTAATCAACGGGGAAATTATGACTCGTAAAAGAGGAATGTGCCTTGATTCATTGTGATGACACAATGAAGCACACACAAACACACATACAAACAAACACAAATACGTACACTATACATAAACAAACGAAAATTCAACAAACAATAAATAAACATCAATGAAAGAAATTTCAGAATTCAGTTCGGAGAATGTTATTTACACGTACAGAGAGCATTGTATGCGACAAAAATTGATTGTTATATAGACAAATTATCGGTGAAATTTTTCGGGAAGAGGACGTTCGTTCAAGAATGCGGAAAATTTCTTGTAAAAAAACTCTATTTGCTACGGTCTGATGCAACAAAAAAGAATGAAACATCACTGAACACGGATCATTCGTTCAAGACATTCTCGTATTCAGATGATGTAAGCATTTTTGAACATCGTTGCGTTTGCTAAACAAGCAATGCTGATTGCACGTTTCGTGAACATTGTTTAGCGTTTAGTGCAAATATTTATGTAAATTCAGTGCTTTGTTTCGTTCTCTTCGCTATAAATGCAATGAAAGCACGTAAAAATAACAACAACAACCAGCTGCTGTTGTTGGTTGCTCTTTAAACCTTTAACAAAAATGAAACATAAAGCAATTTCCAAACTTTTCAGTCATATCCATACATCATCATTTCTGCTCGAGCCGTCGTTGTTCGTTTTGTTTTGTTTTTCGACTTCCAGCCACATCATCTACTAGACATGCATCCACAAATCTCGTCTATGCATTCGTAAGTTTATTGAACAGATTTCAATACCCGCTAGATGCTCGTTGGACTGACTCTTCAATGCCCCTCTGTGGCATGCTTTTTCATCAATGCATCAAATGACAGCCAGCTGACAAACGAACACCGCTATATGTCAAGGTACAGGTGCTGCATTCACGAGAATAGCACACCGAAATGACACAATTGTGTTGCAAAGCGTTCCAGATTCATCTCTCTACCGAAACATACAAAGCACCTCAATCCTATTCAGTCCAATATCACCGAAACTGAATTTGCCTTCTAAGCGCTCGCTGTCTAATGACAACAACGTTATCTGCTTCCAAATTGTGTACCGAATAAAAATTTACTTTCCAATCATATCAAATTAAATATTTAACTTCAATAAAATACTGTTTCTCAGACACTTATATCGCAAACTGACTACACTTGACGAATATGAGCAACTGATTCACTGATTCACGAGCAATCATAACAACGATAACGGTAACAGTTGCTGCGATAGGTGGATAATTGCACTGCATATCAAAATGATATGCTTGAATGGAATATTATACAAAAATCGAGAACGACACTCTACATTATGCAAGACGGAGAATATGAGTGCTGGTTGCATGAAACGAACGATGATCAGTGGAAGACGTCGATGTGATTTCTTCAATTCTAAACTAAACCAATCAAGACAGCTATATTCTATTGTTGTGATGCATAAATAAACGGACGAATGAAATACATGCGGATATAAAGATATCATATCTGATCAAAGATTTGAGTGTGTTGGTGCAATAAAATGCATGTGAACATCACGCTCTACACGAGACAACATTAACATACGGCATTGATATCAATCTACCGAACGCATTCGATGGTCTGTTTTTTTAGCGCAACTCTCGTGACATTTCTTTGCATTATTCCACGCATTTTCTCAAGGAAATGACAACACAATGAACAGCAAAAGAGAAGGAGAAGGAGAGAATGAGATTGCAAAAAAAATATGAGAAATAAAAGTTATTGGAAAATAGCACAGGGGAATTTTGGACGAAAATGAGCGATTAGATAGATGACATAAGTGGATTGTTATTTTAAAACGCGAACAACGGTTTGTTTATGAACTTATGCATGTATTTCTGTGACAATAATATCTTAAGACTA